GTTATTGTGTGTTATTGTTTATGAGAGAGAGAGAGAGAGAGAGAGAGAGAGAGAGAGAGAGAGAGAGAGAGAGAAGGCTTCTGAAACCTGATGTTGTGGGGAGGGGAAGGCAAAGGAGTTTGCTTACTTAAAAGTAAGTCTCATCATGTTCAATGGGATTTCTTCAGGGCACACCACCTCTCCAGGCCCCCGATCATCCTTGTCGCTCTCCTCTGCAGCTGTTCCATTGATAGCACCTGGGTTTTGGCCACTGTGTGACACAGGTGTCGGACTGGATTGGCCACTGGCCTGATCTAGCAAGGCTTCTCTTATGTTCTTTATGTTTACTTTCTCTAGTTTATGCCTCCCCATGCATGCTGATCATAACCACTTGCTCAGCAATTTCTACCCTTTGGCCTCCTGGTGCCTCCTTGAGCTCTATGTTACATTTTAATCCCACCTTCCCTCTAAGAAGCCCAACACTCTGCTCCATTTCAGTCTTAAAATAACCCTGTGAATCACCGGGGGCTTAGAGAGCATAACTAGCCCAAGTTCACCCAATGAGCATTGCGGCTGAGGGGGGATTTGAATCCAGGTCTCAATAGTCCTGGTCAAAAACTCTGTCCACTATACAATACTGACCTTTTCTGAGGAGGTCTGAGATTCATGTGCTTTTTAGATCTCTCTTGCTCTCTCTCACGTGCACACACACAGAATTGGAACAAGTAAGTCTAAGAGACTAAAGGCACTCAGGGGCCCATCCACAGGAAATTCAGGTAGAGGCATCTCATCAGCATTTTGCAACCTTATTTCTACATTGTGATGTATTCATTAATATACATAATAACATAGGTGACATCAAGTTGCAACTGACTTATGGTTTTCCCAGCAAGGGGCTTTCAAGGCAAGTGAGAAACAGAAGTGGCTTGCCACCAACTTCTTCTGCATTGTCTTCCTTGACGGTTTCCCTTCCAACTCCCAACCCTGTTTAGCTTCTGAAACCTGATGAGATCAGGCCGCCTTCCCTCCTTTCCTACAACTGTATGTGTGAAATGTTGTGAAGTCACAGCCAACTTATGGAGATCTGAGGAAGGGGCTTCCAAGGCAAGTGAGAAGCGGGGGTGGTTGGCCATCGCCTTCCTCTGCAGAGCCATCCTTGGTGGTCTCCTTTCTAATTCCCAGCCCTGATTAGCTTCTGAGATCTGATGAGACCAGGCTATACTACACCACCTTCCCGCCTTCCCCACAACTGTGTGTAGAAAGTGCTGTCAAGTTATAGCCAACTTATCTAGATGCCAGGAAGGAGCTTTCAAGGCAAGTGAGAAGCAGAGGTGGCTGGCCATTGTTGGGTAGTCCCGCCATTAGGTTATTTTCCCTTCTGCTGGAATGTGCTTTGCTCTGAGGCTGTGTTTCGGTTTTGCTCCTTATCTGCCTGTTGGCCTTGAGCGCTCATCGCTTGGGTGCGAATGCCTCCGATTCTCCCGCTCACCTCTAAACCATTATAGTTCCCTGCATTTTGTATTCACTGC